GCAGTAGAACCCAGAAAACAAGCTTTCTTGCCTCCCCATTTGTGTCATGCTTAGAGTTATTAGGAGATACTTTCCCCAGGGTTTTGCCTCCTGTAAGACATGTCCAGGCACAGATCAAGGAAAGGGAAGGTGAAATACTTCCTAAAGAGTTGCCTTTAGAGATGTTACAACATATGAGATACCTCTATACTCGTATCACTAGTAAGCACACTGCCATGTAACTGAGGAGTAGCTCTGAAGTTCAGGAAAATCTGACAGTAGCAAAGAAGAAATAAATGCTGAAGAAGGGGCTAAATGAGAGCAGACATTTATATATCCACCAGCCTTCCTTCTCTATCAATTCCAGGTGGGCCCAGTTTTGCCACTCGTAGGCAACTAGGTGGAACTGGTCTCTTCTGGCAGTACCCAAAGGCCTTAAGTGTTTGCATGGCAGTAGCTCCCTGTTTGCTCTGCTCTCAGGAGCAGCATTTGTGTATTAAGCCAGGGGATTTTTCAGCACTGCAATGTCTCCTGCAGCGTGAGGGCGCTCTCAGAATCTCCCAGCAGCAGTCTCCTAAGCTGGGTGGGATAATTCTGCTTAGGGGGTAGCCCAGGGTTTTGTAAAGGAGACAAGAGGCTAGCACAATCTTTCCAGAGTCCTGTTTCAGTTGGAGAGAGATTTCTGTGGTCTGTTATGAAGTGCTGGATGTTTACATTTCGCTTTTCCTGTCGGAAGAAATAGATCTGGCAAACAGCCAGTAAGCTATTTCTGGAAAACTACTTTCCTGGTAATTAAAAGCACCTGGGCAGACTTTCCTTGTCCAAACAGCACTGTCTAGCCAAGCCAGGCCTTTAGGGTCAGAGTTGTGGACACTGAACAGCTTTAACAGGAACACAGGAATTCAAGGAGTTCCGTCTTTACCTTCTGCATCTTGAATGTTGATTTGCAATCCAAGTTAAAGATGGCAAAGGACTGAAAGTTTGTGACCTCTAAAGTGTCAAAAGCTCCTCATACCCCAGACTTTCATTCTGGCTCTGCCAGGTGTTTAGAGACTATGAAATGAACATGTAAATCACGTGTTCTTCGCCCTTTTTGCCCCACCCCTCCCACCTTCTGGGTGATGATCCTTTAGGGAGCTTTTGGATCATGTTTCCAGGATCCAATCATATTTTATTTTAAATAAAAGCTTGGAGTCTTTCCTGCTTTTGATATAAATGCTTCCTTACTGGGTTTACTAGTCAATAGGTGCCTACCTGATGTCATCTGAGGAGGGAATGGGCATTGGCAGGACATCCTGAAAGCAAGGTTATCTGTTGACTAACAGCTCTCTTCCAGCTTATGCTGCCACAGCCTAGATGAGGCAGTAAAGCTCACATGACTAAAGCAAGTTCTGTAGCTGGTGGGATATATGGAAGGAATATGGCCCACATTTGTGGATAAATGAGTTATAGAAGAAACAGGACATGTACTGCAGTCTTGTGTGTCCAGAAAAGGAGGGCTGAGGAACAAGGGGAGAGAAAATACACAGTCTACTTGGCAACTACACTCTAGAAAGGAATAGCACCACCACTGACTGCTAAATAAATTTCCCACCTCTTCTGTTTTTCTGCTATAGCTATTACTTTTCTCCTGCCTATGCATGCATTAACCTCAGCCCATACAGTGCCCCAAGGTCCGGTGAGGTAAGTTCACACACCAGAAAAGTAAGTTCATACAAGAAAGGGAGGAATTACTGCACCAAATCTTAAATCCTCTAAAGAAAAACCCAAATTATTTCTCTTAACTATAAGGCTTGTTTAAGAAACCAAAAGTTTTAATGAGCATGCAGACAGCAATCAAGATTAATCCTCCTGTGTCTTGAGACCTGGACAAGCCAAGGCCTGAGGACCTCTTGAGAAGGACAGCAGCAAACAGAAGTTTTGATAGTTAAACAGAATCTCTTGGTTACTCAGATCAACATATTCATGGTTTTATCTTTAATTTTGAATCTTCTACCTTTAGACAAAGAATTGTTCCATACTGGAGATACATCCTTCCTGTAGAATCAGAGCTGGCTTACAGACTAGGTAAGATTGATGCTGCAACCAGTCATTTAAATTGGATCATATTTATCTCACCAAATCATATATAAATAGTAAATGCAAGATCAAGTTCTGGTGCAGAAAGAATATGCTTCTTAGAAGAGAAACTTAATCAGTTTTATTCCCTAGATTAATTTAGTATGCTGGATATAGGAAATGAATTAATTGTGCAAATGCTCCATTATGATTCCCTCTGATAATCACTAAGAAGCACATCCTCCATTATCTCCTGCTTTCCTGAACTACAGGGATTAGAAATCTTTTAAAAGGACATACTGCTATGAAATGAAAAGACACCTACTTGCCTGGGACCCAGCCAAAGCTGGTCAAATCACTGTGGTAGATGGGCATGCCAAGTACTCTCAAGACAATGATTTTTTCCCTGGTATCTGTCATTGAATGTCGCTCTTAGAGTGCATTAGCACAAAGAAGCCAGTTACTGGGAGTGAAGAGCTTAGTCCTAGCAGAAAGCCTCAGCATTGTCTGCTTTGTGGAATATGACAGCATAGTCTGACAGAAAACCCGTGCATTGTGTTTATGGCCTCTTCTGCAGTGCTTGCAGCCATAGACTGAGTCCTACCTCTACTTAGACTGATGGTACAGTAGCAGCAATGTTCCTTTAAAAAGAAAAAATACTAGTTTCAACATTTCCTTGCTTTTCACCTCCTGATTTCATGTTCTAGACAGTTTGCTTTATTCTTGATCAGCTGCTTTAAAAATCTTTATTTCCTTGCTTTGGTGTCACCTGGAGGTATGAATGTCATGGAGAAAATGGCATTTTCTCCATGGCAGTAATTCTCTGCCATGCTCTTGATATCTGTTTTCCCCCTCACCCTATTCTCTTCCTGTTTCCATTCTGCCTGGTCACTGCTATTTCTTGCCAAAAAGTAATGTTTTTAAAGTGACACAGTTAATTTGAGCAACTGTGCTGCTGTCGAACCACATATAGTATATACTTGAAAGGAGTTAAGTGCCTAATCTCTCAACTAACAACAGAGGTGACAGGTACAGCTTCTTAGTCAGGACTCACGGGGACTAAAAGAGAGAGCAAAGCCACATCACCTCTGGCAGGGAACGTGGTCCACAGAGCCACTGCCTTCCTGCACTAGTGAGCTTTGGAGTTACTCTGCTCTGCAGCAATGAGTAAGGAGGGCAAGTAGAGAAAGGAATGATTGCTTGTTTTCATATCCCGTGAAGCTGCTGCAGCAGCGTATATCTGTATAGATGAATTTTGGGAAGTCCAGGATCTTTCAGAGAATGGAAGTTTTCCATTTTAAGAGAACAGATTATTCACCCAACCTTTTAAGCTGTCAGCTGTAAAATTAACTTGGACTATTTCCTGGTGAGTGCCTATTGAAGCAGGTTGAATCTAATCCATCAGTTTTTAAAAGGTGCTGTACCTTCCACAGGAATTATTAGTTGTGGATATGGCTTCCTTGCTGTTTGGACTCTTGTTTTCTTGCAGAGCAGAAATACTGTTCAAAACAGCCTGTTTAACTGAGGAATTGCAGGTGGAAGCATTGCACATGGAAACTAGTAATCCTAAGAGCCATATGCTGGTGTATCATTGCTGTTCTCATGCAAGAAGAACATGGGGGAACAGCAATAGCAAAGCTTCATCATTTGATGTGTAGCTTATTATTTCATTTGCTCACTAGAACTCAACTAGAGTTTAGTGAACATCAGTTTAAGAGCTTTTCCCAGTAGTATCAGGAGGCTGTACAACAGCACTGACTGTTCAAGTGGTAGATAGAAGGGAGATAGTTTTAAAAATAGATATTTCAAAATATGTTATCAAAAAACAGAACGTGGGATATTTGGAAAGGATATAAGCAAGCTAGGCACTCAGATGTCATTGAGAGTTGAAAGGCCAGCATAAGAATTTGGCCAGCTAAGCCTCAGTAGGTCTTAAAGGATATTTAGGGCTGTGATGCCACAGTAAATAGCAGGCTGTTGCCAAAACATTATTTCCAGTCAGACAGGACCAGTAAATGAACAAAGATCAGAGCACATCACCAGGTATTAGAGTTGCAAGTGCAGAGATGCAAATTCAGAGCCAGGGAGTTCAGCCATGCTAGCTGGGATGTGAACTGATAATTTTTTTATGTCAGCTTTTGTTTTCTTCCCAGGCAGATGTCTTCCTAGCCTTCTTGCCATCCTGGTGTTTAAGCTCAATTGCTATGTGTTGCTGCCCAGATGCTTGAAACCTTCCCAATTCAACCACAGTGGTTTGAGCACAATAAATAAGGACATGATATCCACCAAGAGGAGTCTTAGGATATCTTGCTGATCTAGGTCTCTCGGTGCTGGATATGAACACTCCAGGGATTCAGTCTCACTGCTTCGTTTTTGCCTTTTTACTTCTGACAGTTTTTTTGCATACCTTTGCAAAAAGCAAGAGGTGTTTATCTTAAAGCAGGTATTTGTGCAGGAAAATACTGATTATATGTAAAACAGGCCAGTTGTATTCCAGCCAGTAGTTTTATTGCTCAAATAACTGCTTCTCCCACTTTATTACAGTATTGCCAAATGTAGATTGCTATGGAAATAATTCATTCTTCAGTACCATGTGTGAAATGAGCACAGCTTTTAGGGGCAATCTCCTCAATAGACAAAAAGTTAAGTGACACTATAGATGCTAATTACTCTCCTAGGATATCCATAAATGGTCCTTTCCTGATGTAGTTGACATGCATCCTACTTGGAAGGATGCAATTTTTCATCATTTCTCCACATTATTATTTATATTTGGGGGGGGGGGGGCATAAGCAAAACAAGTTATAAAAGCCTAGCACTCAAATTGTACCCACCTGCCCCAATTTGTAATGTCAGAAGGGAAAAGGTGGCTCGGTCATTTTGTCATAAATTTCAACACATTTAATTTTTAACCGTTTAATTTTTTCTTTCTTTAATGGGTATCTGTCACTTTGGGATTTCAGCAGTCATCTGTGACTCTAGAATGATAATCTTTTGATGTGGAAATCTTGGTGCTGCTAAAGTATCGGTATCTTTGCAAGTGGTGTCACAACCATGATTTTTCTGGTAAGTTTCTTAAGGTTTCAGTTCTTAAAAGGGGTAGGATGTGTTGTAAGAGATCATGGTAGATGGGACTTCTGGACAGCATAAGCTATCCAGCCACTCTGTTTTCCAGTGCCCTTGACAGAGGTCCCCAGTCATACACACACCTGCTAGTTTGCATGAGACAGGTGATTTCACTCGTTCATGAGAGCAGACTCAGCTCTGGTAATGTATGTAGTACCAATTTTAAAATTAGCTTGGTGTTATTTCATTTGGATTATATGGCATCATTTATGGGACATAAATAGTGATTGAAAGTGATTCCACTGATATGTTGAGAAACATCTATGCATTTCTTTAGTGAGCTTGGAGACGAACAAAAAAATTGGCAGGTGGAGAAGGGGAAACGTTCCTGCCAGCTACACAGGCTGCCAGCTTTTGGTATTTCCCAGAATCCTGCCAGTCACTGTTTCCTGGCTCTAAATGCCACCTCAGAGCTCTCTCTCCAATATGGGGCAGCTGAGCTATGGCTCTACCCTTTGGTAATACTACAGGGACTGCCTATACTGAGCATGGCTTTCCTCTTGCCCTTTCTTCGAGTCTGAGTAAAACTCTGATGTATATTTATTGTGCAATAACCCTTTGCAACCCATGACATTACTCGTGGCTGAAGCCTAGTGATTACACAGGACCTTGCATTTGAGACAGGCTGTAGGACCATGACTTCTTTCCTACTGCAACAGAGTCCATTCCTTTCTGTATAGAAGATTACCTGTTTAAAAGGCTGGTGACTCGAGTCTCTTACAAAAATGTTCTGTTGTGTCAGAGGCAGGTCAGGTGCTGTAGAGTCATAGAATATCCTGAGTTGGAAGGGACCCACAAGGATCATTGAAGTCCAACTCCTGGCCCTGCACAGAAGAACCCTCAAAATCATACCGTGTGCCTGAGAGCATTGTCCAAATGCTTCTTGAACTCTGTCAGGCTTGGTGCTGTGATCACATCCCTGTGGAGCCTGTTCCAGTGCCCAACCTCTGGGTGAAGAACCTCTTTCTAATATCCAACCTAAACCTCCCCTGACACAACTTCAGGCCATTCCCTTGGGTGACCAGAGGGAAGAGATCAGTGCCTGCCCCTCTACTTCCTCTTGTTAGGAAGCTGTAGACCAGCAGGAGGTCTTCCCTCAGTTTTCTCTTCTCCAGGCTGAACAAGCCCCATGACTTCAGCCACTCCTCATATGGCTTACCCTCTAGGCCCTTTACCATCTTCATAGCCCTTCTTTGGAAGGGTAGCTTTATACCTATCTTATATTGTAGCACCCAAAACTGCACACAGAACTTGAGGGGGGGCCACACCAGTGCAGAGCAGTGCAGGACAATCACCTGCCTTGACCTGGCTGGTGATGCTCTGTCTAATGCACCTCAGGACATGGTTGGCCCTCCCGGCTGCCAGGGCACTGCTGACTCAGTGCTTTGGAGTGTGGCAGTCTGTGGGGTTTTAATGCATATTTTCCATTCAATTGTTATGTGAAAGATATCCTCCCACCCACGTGCCTTCCCACACAAAGGAAGCTGGCCACTGAATGAACTTCATAGATGGAAAGTGTTACCCACCTCCAAGAAGTAATTTTCAGTTACTGCACTTTGAAGTCTTTTTGAAAGTTGTGTAAAAAAAAAATAGCCAACAAAAAGGCTTGTTCTCTGTTTTCTTTGCTGACCATCAGCACATAAAAACTGTCTTTCTTCTCCCCCTCAGTCAAAAGAAAACCATCCCCAACCTGGCCTAACCAGAATTCAAGTTAACTTTCCTCTCATTGTAAAAAGTGACATGTTTTCTTTGAATATCCTGTCTATTTTACCCTCCATCTGAAAGATGGCTCTGCCAGCAGCTCGATGCACCTCTAATTCCTTGTGAGGAATGTGAGAAGAAAAAAATTAAAAAAACTGTTTAGGAGTTAAAATGCTACACAGCAGTCCCCAGCCAGTACCTCCTGCAGCTACAGGCTGTGGAGAGCTTGTACCTGCAGAAAGCAGGTTAGAACCATGCCCAGCATCTGAAATCTTTCTGCATCACTTTTGATGGTAGGACCATCCCCAGATGTGATATTTAGCAACTTTCTGCTTTGTCACCAAAGCTGCTGCTGAGGTTAGCGTAGTGTTTGCTGTAAATTCTTTGATTTCTGCCTGCAGATTGACACTCCAGGAAGGTCCTCAGCACTCATGAAGACATTCATCCCACTAACATTTCCAGGAGTGTAACATCTTTCCCATGGACTGCTCTGCTCTCAAGGAGGATTTCTCATTTACTGTGCTGTATTTCTTGTGTTCCTGATGAGCTGTGATCTTCCATTTGAACTAATATATAAACAAAAATATATTTGTACCGATTTACATTGTTTTCTTACTACTTTTGTGTATATGTAAAGAAACCCCAACAAACCAAAACTAAAATCAAAGAATCCCTCTACTGTAAAGACCTTTAGTCAGTCTTTCTATTTCAAGGTTATTTAAAAGTATTAGAACTGCAGTTGTTCCTGCGACAATGCTGCACATTGTGTGCATGCACAATTTAGTTTATTCTCTGCTTATTCCTCTATTGCAATGTAAAAGGGGCTTGTAGTTCTGCTTTGTGAGTTGTTCCCAAAAGACTCATCTCTGGGTTCAGGGTACATGAAAGCCTGATGGGCTCTTTTATGGTCAGAAGTGGTGTAAAGAAGAGCCAGAGCAATGTCAACCAGAAGGAGCACTTTGGCCCAACATACCTTCAGGGCACTGAGCAAGGCTGGACAGAACAGAAGTTCATTTGGCATTCTGTGTGTGTCACAGAGGTCCCATAATGACTGAATCTGAGGACTTCAAGGCAGCACTTCCTGGACCTCAGTCTGAAATCATAGCACAGAGTGCTTCCTCCCTTGCGAATCAGAATAGTAACTTATGCTGTTACATTTTACCTGTGTTGCTGAGGTAGCAAGCCAAAGGGTAGTCCACTTGTTTTATATATGCTGTATGCTTATACTTTGTACTGGTTTGAATGTTGCTGCTGTAAGCAGCTAAGGAATGTGCTGCTTGCTCAGTCAGTGATGAATCCATCCAACCCAGTATCCTGTCTCCAGCAGTGACATTAGGAGATTCTGTTTAGGAAGTGCAAACAAATATGACTCCTATCTGAGTACCATTCCCAGCATCCAAAAGTTATAGACTCATCTCTGCCTTCTCCCTGTTTGTGGACGTGTTGTCCATGAATTTGTCTACCTTCTTTTTGGAACTGCTCATATTGTTTGCCTTTAAAACATGCCGTGACTACATATTTTACAAGCTCATGTAAGAAAGTACTTTACTATAACTGTTAAATGGGATTTACTGATCAAGTTTTTCATTCATATTATTTCCAGGGAGCCTTCTCCTCCCTTCATTGAAAATCCTCAGCTTTTTAAGGCTCCCTTGATAAGAGGTACTGCCCTTCTCAGTACCTCTCCTCAGTGCATTATGTCCTTCTTGCAATGCTGAGAGCAGTGAGAAGCATGAGTCAGGATGTGGGTGCACCTGGGTTTTATGCACTGGCAAAACAATGCTCTCTGCATTGCTCTCAACACCCTTCCTGACGATGCTCAACAATTTGGTGCTTCTGGCTGACACTGCACATTGAGGTGATGAATGAAACAGGGAACAACTAATGTGAACACACTATTGTGATCAAGGCTGGCTGGGGTATGCAGTTAAATATAGCCATATTTAACTTTTCCTTTTAAACCATATTCTATCGCCAGTCTCAGTGAAAAACAAATATTATCAGCCAGGGTAACTGCTCCAAATTGGACAGCTTTGGGTCACCGTATTTTTGTAGTCTTCCCTTTTTCTCTACCCAGAGCATAAGTAGTATACCTTATGGTGCAAACTAGAGCACCCATAAGTAATATGCCTGCATGTTCTTTCTGCATTTGTGTGCAGGGGCCCAAGGTGACTTTTAAGCTTAGGTCTCTTGTTCAAAAACTTGATTATAAGGATGTGGAAACACTTCTGATGCACCCTTTTGAAGAGGTTTTATGACTCAGATGCAAAAATTAACTTCCAGACGAAAGTATAGTAGAAGCTTTAGCCCAGGAGCAACACCTACCCAGTTTTATAACCCTGTCACACATATAGCTTTAATAAAAGCCTGTAGAATAAACAAAACTCAGCTATAGAAACAATAAGGCAATAGCAGTTGTAATTCAGGGAACTTCCAGCAGATTAGTAACAACCTGTGAAGAGCCTGTGGCCTGAAAGGCAACCTTGAGTCTCTAATTCCTAGGAAATTGTTTGTGTTGTGGTGGTTATTGCTGCTTAACAATTAACACCTTGAAGACTTAAAAAAATTTGGCTTTTAATTTCTCTTTTCCATTTTCAGCATGTGAAGTCTGATTCTGGCATGAATCACAGCTCTTTGAGATCCACCTCTTTCAGGAGGTCTGCACAGCTATCCGTGAACTAGAGCATCCTATAAAGAGCTGAGACATTGATCCAAGGAAGCAATCAGGTACACATGTGATTCTTTTCTCCGTGGAGCTCTCAAAATCAGAAAAGCTTTTTTGGAACATTCCTCCCAGAATTTTAAACAGTCTGGAGGACACAAACATTTCATCAGAATCTGTAAATAAAAAAAGAAAAAAAGTTCGATTGCTACCAGTTTTTTTTCCTTCAATGAAATCAAATGGAAATTGCAATTCTATTTTATGTTACAAAATATTTACACCTTTTAGTGCCCGATGTTTCTTGGCATTTTTTTTTCTCTTTTCTGTAGCCATTTTCAGCATATCTGAGTCTATTCAAATGTCAATGAATCTTCACAGCTCACTCCTTCAGTGCAGACAGAGTCCCTGATAAAGCACTTCTCCCACCCAAGAAATGTCTCTGGAAAGGAGTTAGTCCTTTCCTTGACATCTGGCAACAGTCAGTCAGGGAGGTACCTGAAACAGTAACAAGCCTTCTATGCTCTGTGTGTGTCAGTTTAACCTACTGTGCATAAATCCTACTGATGGCACCAGTTATGCTTAAAATTAAAGATACGCAGTAATTTTATACTACAGTCCTAGAAATACTCTGCTTAGATATCTCTACAAGCAAATTTAATACAGTCCTCAACTATTTTGGATGCTCTAGAAATGTGAGTGTGTTCCAGAACTTCATAGGCCTCCTGGTTCAGGTACTTCACACACAAGCAGTCACATGACATACACTCAGCCACAAGTGTTAATGAGAAAGTAATTAATCACAGATTCCATGTAGCTTGTATGTGAAAATCCTCACCAGTTATACCGGATCCAGACAGACTCAGTGTGGTGAAAGGAGTTTAGCTTCCTGTAAGCTGCCCAGCTGCTCTCTGGAGCAAGGAATTAACATAGAAATACAATGCCCGTCGCTTCTAAATTGGGTTCTGTGGCCTCTTAAGAAGAGAAGAATGAGTGAACTTGAGAGCCCAGGGATATCTAGAGTCTGGGGATGGCAACATCAGTTTGGAGATACTTAGAAATTTGAACATATCAGAATCCCACTTCTTGCTCTCTCAGTGCATTTTCCAAGTTTTTTAAATTTATTGAATTTTTTTCTTTCAGGGCTGACCGCCATTACTGCTTACATCAGTGGAGAGATTCCCACTGAATTTCAAGGGCAACTGGATTAGTTACTGGTTGCTGTACTGAAAAGGCATGCAATTAAAAAAGCTACCACATTGTTCTCACTGGGCTGGAGCCAAGGATGACCAAGTGTGCTTGCTCAAGTTCAGCTGTGCACTGTCACCCACGAAGGCAGTCGGTTGCACTTAGGATGCAACCCAGACAATGGAACCTGGCCTGGCCAGAAGCTGCAGTTTGGCAGCTTAGACCCACTGGAGCTCTGACCAGACACAGGGAGCAGCTACAAGGGATTTCTTTTAGGAGTCAGAGCTGTAATTTCCAAATGATAGGTTTATGTCAGCACTGCAGCTGCTGAGACTTCTGTCAGCTGTGTGGTTTACCAGGAGGAATCTTCAGCTGGAAAACAATTCTCAGGTGCTTTGCACTGAATGGAAAGTGATGAAAAGGTGGTTTTATTAATTCTTTTTGTATAGTGTATACTCCCTAGCATTTAAAAAATACTTTTCTGAAGTAATTAATTATTTCCTACAAATCTTATTGATATGAAGGGGTGCCCTACACTGTTTAACTCCAGCTATAAGTCTCAACCTCCCAAACAGTAAGGTATCTATGTGCCTTCAGAGAACCATAGAACAGTTTGGGTTGGAGGGGACCTTTAAAGGTGATCTAGTTCAACTCCCCTGATAAGCAGCAACATCTTCATTGGGATGCTCAGAGCTCTGTACAACCTGACCTCTAATGTTTCCAGGGATGGTACATCTACAACTGCTCTGGGCAAGCTGTTCCAGTGATTCACCATGCTCATTGTAAAACTTTTCTTCCTTATATCTAGTCTGAATTGACTGTCTTTTAGTTTATAAAAATTACCTCTTGTCCTATCACAACAGGCTCTGCTAAAAAGTCTGTTCCCATCTTTCTTATAAACCCATTTTAAATACTGAAAGGCTGTAATATGGTCCCTCTGGAGTCTTCCAGACTGAACAACCCCAATGTCCTCATTCTTCTGAGTCTTCTCATGAACTCCTGTTGAAATAGTTGCTTCCTTAATGCTATGCATATGTTTTGAGGGCTCAGAAAAGACAGGGAAATTACAAACATGTGAGCTCAAAACTTTTGAGAAAATGACGACTGCCAGTGTTTCCGTAATTAAAGATATGCTCTGTAAACTGTCCCTGCCTCTCCTTTTCCTTTCTCCAAGATGAATGAAATGTGAAACAGCGTATTAAGCCTAAGAAGTAAGTTAAGGTTATAGAACTAATTGCATTTTATGATGTCATGTCCCTTTTGATGACAAGGATAAAACATGTCCAAAACAGTGCCTAGAGAGGGAGAGGACATTTTTGGGGGGACTGCCTGGGGGTGATGGATGGCGCAACAAATGGAGCCACTCACTGCAGCAAACCCACGATCCCCTCGGCCGGGCTCATTTGTCCCTTACCCCGCCGGGGGCCCTGCGCGGAGCGCTCCCGCCGGCGGAGGGGCGGCCGGGGCAGCCCCCGGGGCCGGGGTTAACCTCGTGTTACCGCCGACCCTCTCGCAGATCGCCCGTCCCCGGGCATCGTCCGAGGGCCAGGGCGCTCCCCGCGCCGCCGCTCCCTCTGGGGGTGCGCACCGCGGCCGGGAAACTTTCGGAGGGAACCACTTCCTCGCCCGCCCTGCTGGGGGGAAATGTCAGATGCCGGGCGGGAGAGAGGGAGGGGTGAAGGCGGGGAAGGGCCAGCCGCAGACCCTCCGCCCGCTGCAAGATGGCCATTTAAGCCCTGGGCGAGGAGCCGGCGGGAGGAGGCAGCGGCGGAGGAGGTGACCGGCCGCTCTCTCAGCAGCCGCTGTCCGCTCGCCCCCTCAACTCACCGCCCGCACGGCTTCCCCCCGCGGCTCCCGTCCCCGCCTTTTCCTTGGGCGGGCAGTGCGCTGGAGGTAGCGCGGGCGGGCGGGGCGCGGGGAGGGCCGGGGCGCCGGGCGGTGCGGGGCGGCAGCCCGGCCATGTCTCCGGCGGAGGCGCGTCGGGCTGAGCGGACCGTGCGCGCAGCGGGGAGCGCTCTCCGCCACCAATGAGGGCGGCTGCCGCTGCCCCCGCGCCCCTGCCTCCTGCTGCTGCTGCTGAACTGCTGAGCCGCCGAGGTGAGACCGCCGTGCGGGAGGCGGGGGGCTGCCGCACCTGCCCCCGCCGGGGCTGCCCCGCCTGCGCTGGCGGGGAGCGGGCGGCCGGCGGGGCAGGTGTGCGGCCGGAGCTGGGCTTTGTCCCGCGGCTCAGCCGTGCCGGCCCGGGGAGGGCAGGGGAGGCTGGGGGGCCCCGGCGCTCACCTGGGGCGGACTCCCCGGCTCGCCTTCCGCCGGCTCTTCCCCGCCTGTCCCCCCCGGGGGTCTGAGCCCCGCCCGGCCGCAGCGGGGATGGGGTAGGGTGAGACCCTGCGGTACAGCCGCGTGGCTCCTGTCGGGGCGTGAGGCTGCCCCGGTTGTTTACCCCGCTAAAAGCTGCCTTAGGTAGAATAGGGACGGCTCCCGTCTCCCCAGCGTTGTAGCCTGCCGTCCTCGTGTCGCTGCTGGTTAATTAGTAATAGGTTATTTGCGCATTGTCCGTGACGGTGGTGCACATCACCCGCTGGGTTACAGCCTTCAGGCTCAGTGTGGAGTTTCCACGGGAAAATCCTGCCCTGTGCGGAGTGAGCAGACCTGGCGATGCAAGGCAGCAGGAGGACTTTGCCTGCACACTTGGGTTTGAGGCCCTGCTCTGTTCCCAGGTGTGTTTCAGGATGTTCTTCCAAGAACACTTTTCAGTGATGTAAATCACAATCGCTTGCCAGGTGACCCACTGACAGCATGCTGGCATAGACTTTCACCCCGTGCTTCTCTCAGCTGATAGATTCCTGGTGTTCCCGCAGGAACACTTCATGGCTGCTGCAAATGCTAATGTTTTGGGGTTTCTTGAACTTTTGATTCCAGATGTACCTCCTTGGCCTCTCTGCCTCAACAGTTTCTGCTGCAGAAGTGTGAATGTGTATTGGGATGGACCAAGGTGCTCAGTAATTTTTGGTGACAGTTCTGCCTGAGAGCTGCAGAACAGAACTGTACCACTGCTTTAGTTTAACTATTTTTTCCCCCTATCTTACGCTGGTGCTGGCTTGTAATTGGAGCCAATGACTACTGTAAACCTTTGCTTCTTTCTCCTTTTGTGTCTTTCAGTTTGAGGTACCTTGCAGTGTTTTGTCATTCCATCTCTGTTTGTTGTACCAAGCCTAGGCTTAAAAATATCTTCTAAATAAGAGCTAAAACTGAATTGGTTATCAAAGTACTCCAGCATTTTGGAAAAGCTCAGAGCAGGCCTGGATTGTCCTTGGGTATAGCCTTGCAGGATCTGTCTACCATGACCTCTATGGTTTGTAGTTTTTCTTCTCAAGCTGAATCTTGTGACATAATGATCTACTTCTAACATTTTCTAAGCCAGGGTCTTAATTGGTGTCTAGTATGATTAATAATAACATGAAAAAAAAATAGACCCTCTCCTCAATTACATGTAGTTATATTTATGAACTCATCATCTTGGGACCCAGCTGCAGATCCTCGGGTAGGTCCTGTCATCTGCAATGGTATCAGAGTTCCCATCAACAGGAGGACACAGATCTGCAGATTCTGGTGTGGCTCGTAATTTTAGGTAGGAGCTCCCCAGCTCCTGGTGTCATTACTGAAAACTGAGAAGACAGCAGTCTCATTTGTGACTTTAGGTGTACCTGTGAATGTGAAAGCTGATGCAAGGAGGTCTCCATTCACCAGACTTCTTAACTAGTGCTGATCAGCACCTGGTGAAGTTATGAACATTAGGAACACTTCCTTTATCTACAGAGAGAGGTGGGGAGAAATGCCCCTTAGGAGCTTTTTCCTTAGAATAATAGGATGTAAACTGAGTCCTTGCTGATGGTATGATTCTGCAAATCATCCATGGATTTGAAATGACTAAATTTCCCTGTGTTCACTTACGGAAGGTAGGGTGGGATCACTCATGTGTGAAAAGGTCGTTTATATTGCCTGTAAGCAATAAGGATGCAGAATAAAGCCTTGCTTGGATGGAATCCTGACTTTAAGCGCTATAGTCTTGTTGTCCATTCCAAGATGCGTTCACATATCAGGATGTTCTCTGACAGGGCACACTTTTGCGGTTTGTGTTGGGTTCTTTGCATAGGCTAAGGCAGATATTGGAGTTGGCGGTTGTTGCTTGTGGTCTGGCATGTGCTGAGGTGCAGGGACGTGGCCTGGGACTACCTGGTGAGGTATTTAGCTGGTGTAAGAAGATGACAGCAGCTGGCAGGACTGTCAGGCATGTGGCACGAGCTGGACTTTGTGTGTTGCCAGTAAGAACTATTGCGTCTTGTCTACAGTCTCCCAGCCAGCCCCTGAGCAGAAAGGCGGCAAGTTGGATGGAAGTGGCTCTTGGCTGGATCTGGCCTCTGCACTGCCTTTCAGATGACTGTGGGGTCGGTGAGGGGACAGCAGTCCTTACACAGACAGCATTGTCGGCCCAAATACACGCAAGGACTGGGAAGCAGCCCAAGCTATGGAACGACTGTGTCGTGGCAGATCTGGAGGGGTGTGACTGGCATATGATCTTTCTGTGGTGTCTTTTACTCAAGGATAAGCATCTTCTGTTTTTTTGATTAATTCCAACAGAGTGGGCAAGGTTGGAGTTGTTTAAAAGCAAACCTTGCTCTGTGTGTTTTTATTGAGAGTGATTATATTACTGATAATGACAACTAATGTCTACTACTAAAAGAGCAATAGACTTTTAAGCTCTGGTGTTTGTGTGCTTTTTTTGGTGCTTAGAATTATAAATGCCTTTTATGTGGACCTAATAGCTTGTTCTTACAGCTTATTCCATGCACAAAACTACTGATAATGTGTGAGTTGATTATATAGGATTATGACTTAATTACTGGTCTGAATTTCCAACTGAGGAGTTTAAATGAAGAACCGTCTTATCTCAAATGTGGGCTTGCCATGTGTGCATGTTGCATGTAAGATAACTTCTGCTATATATTGGTCATTATTAATCATCCTTAATCATTCTTGTTGATTATTCTCCTATATAGTAGTCTAAATTTTAGTTTATGAAATTATTCTGGGTTATCTTCAGCACGTGCAAGAAATACTTAATAGTGAGTACCATCTAACAAAAATATTTTGCAAATACTTTATGGTAGGTCTACATACAGCTCATTTAGAGGCTTTAAAAAGAATAAAGCTTTAGAAATGTGAGGCTCCCTTGCTGCTACTATATGTGCACTTCTGGGGTAAAAACCTTTAATGGCCACTGTTAGAAGCAAGGGTATGAGTGTCGCTTATCTGGAGACCTGAGCAGACCTGAACATACACAGCATAGGCCAGAAAGAGAAGCTGTAGTTGTGAACTGAGTGTGCTTGTGTCGGAGGAGCTTAGAAATATACTTTTCATCTGTCAGGACAAGTTATTTTTATATGATGACTGACAGTTGATGCTGAAGTGCAAGGGCTTTCATTTTTGTCTGAAACTGCAACACAGGTTAATTTCCTGTGCTTCTTTATGTTCCTCACAAAACCCCACAACACAAGCACCTTCTGCAGTGCTCAATAGATGCTTTGTTTCCAGCGTGGCATGGATGTGTGTAGTGCTTCCTTAGCGGCATAGGCTGGCTGCACATTGCAGCACACTCAGATGATTTCCAATACTTTGTGTCTCCAGCCAGCAACACACAACAAAATATCTTCTTCTGCATGTTTGAGATCAGAATTCAGGCCCACAGTGGAAATGTTGCCTGTGCAAACAGACACGCTATTATTAGTACTTCCTCAATTATGTGAGCTACATGCAAGTCTTTGTTGAGAATTTTCATGGCATGTAATTTTTTTTGGTTGGAGCTTCTAAATATGAGCGAAATTGCTACTGTTTTAAAATCTTTGGTTGTTCATTGTATAGGGCATAATCCGTATAATTTTAATCTATGCATTTCCTTCTTTCTACTACAATTACAGTGTATCGTAGAGTGAGCATTTTGACAATGTTAAAGAGTGGTTGGGGACTGGGAATTTGATGTTTGTAGGTACAAAGCCTATCTCATGTTGTTTACTTGGGGTTTATGCTTGCCTGCTTGAAAGAAGATTCCCAATATGAGCCAAGGAGAGAGAAGCCATTAAAACAGTCAGTGGCTGCACATCTGGTTGTTAGCCTGATGTGACTGCTTTTAGTTAGACTCCAAAATTTGAATGTAAATAGTAGCTTGAACATCATGAAAGGCTGCTGGAAGTGTAGGAGGAGCTATTTGAATTTTCTCTATCAGAGAGGGCCTACTTCTATGTAGAAATTGGAGAGTGAAAGAGAACCTTGCCTTAAATGGAGCTATCAGTAGGAAATTAATTTTCAGCAGGAGATGACTGTGCAGGGGAGGACTTAATTTGGGGGGGGGGAAGACAATGAAATGTAGGTGAGCATGTGCTAGTATGAAGTGATAGAAAACAAAGAGAGTTGGGAAAGAGTGATCAGGCATGTGCAGGAAGGGAAGAACAAAACATATGCACTGCTCTGGAAGGCTGCACCAAGGCTTTTCTATAAGTGCTTTCCAGCTGTTCCCAAATGTATCTGCACATAAACAGGACCCCTGGGGCTATTAATCCAAAATTCCAGGAGAAAATCCAAGACTAAGTGGGAAAAGTATTTCTGTAATCCAAAAAAGAATGGACATGTATATGGGGTCCAGCTAGAGCTCAACTGATAAATTTGTGGCCTCATTTAGTTGTCTTCTATGCCATTTGTGGGCATCCAGTGGAAAAGGCAGGGGAAGATATGGCCATGTCCTTCCACAAATGTTGGTATTTGGCACATCACTGAATGCAATTAGGGTTATTTTCCTACCATCATCAGGAAATTGGAGGAATCCCTTGATATTAGAAACCACACAGTCCAACCATCACTATTTTCCCTCTGTGCTCTATGTGAAGATACCAAGGGCCCATGTAGCAATGCAATAGGAGAAAAGGTAACTGTGCTTTTAGCTGCATCTCAGAATAGAAGAAATTGTACCAACAGCTATAAATGGAGGAAGGAATGATGCTGGTTTCTGCTGTGGTACCAGACCTGTGGGGTCTGGAACTGGCCTTGGCTTTACATGGTGCTTCAAACTCAGTTGGTATGTGTGGGGAAGTGGGCTAAAGCCTGTGTTTGACAGGAGTACTACTGTAGGAAGGAGAAGGGACTACTGTAAGGATCACCTTCAAACTCTCCTAGCCAATGCTTAGAAGTCCTTTTCTCTCCAGTGCTGCCTATCTGCTTGCTCTCAGTCTCCTTTTCCTATTTTTTTTGTACCTCCTATTTGTTTGGTACACATGTGACTTCTCTCATTGTTTTGTACAGTTTTAACCAAACTGAACAACTAAAAGAAATACCTAGTATGTCACTAGGAAGTTCCTAATGCATGCAAAGTTTTTGTTGTGTACTGCATCTGAGCTTCTATTTTAAGGTTGAGAATGTGGGAGTTCTCTTTACATGTAGGGTTGGACGTTTTGTTTATTGGAAG